TTGTGTAGAAACTTATCAAATGCGACATAATAAACATCGTAAAAAAAATTATTTTGATAAAAAAAAATTATTTTGATCAAAATAAATTTCTTGCTAATAAATTTCGTGCAAAATTCAAAATGCTAAAAGTATTTTAAAAGTAAACAAAAACTTTAAAACATTAGCATAAAAAGTTAATTTTCACAATTAATATATATTTTAATAAAGTTAATATATGTATTATTTGTTTAATATATTATATATATATTAAACAACTTCTTTTCTAAATTTTAATTAATATCTATCTAGACTTCAAGCAACCATTATTAAGTTGAAAGTTATTAGAAAACAAAGAACAGAGTTAGAGAGCAAAGCTCTTGATAGAAAACTGGAAAATTGTTGATTGTATGAGTTAGGAAAACAAAAATAAGAGTTTCAAAAGGATAAAATGCAGGGAAATAAACTAGACAAATAAAAATTTTTAGAGCATGCAAGGACAGATACAGTAAAAGGATGCAACTATGCTGAATGACGAATAAAGTAAGAATGCATTTTGGTTAATGTAACTAGTGATAATAGCACCTTTAAGCAGCAAGCATGGTTGTAGAAAAGAAAAAGAGATGCAACTTTATGGCAATGGAGAGGCTCAAACTTTGCAGTAGAGCAGGTTCAACTACATTTACAATGTGTTTTTGGACTTTATCTAAAAGAGAAAGAGTATCATCAGTAGAACCAGCCCATATCTCTTATTCACCCTTGTATGAAATACAAGAGCAAATAAGAGATTTGTAGAAGTAGAGAATTGAATCAGGAGCAAGATAATGGCGAGCACAATAAAGAAACCTTAGCAGATGCTAACTTTGCAATGAATTGTAATTATGGTTTCCATGGTTTTCATTAGTGAATGATAGTACAAGAAAATGCAAATAGAGGACTCAGTGAGAGGGTTGTCATTTGTTATTATAGCCATGTTGACAGTGTTGATTTTGTTGCAACAAAACTCAGTAACAACTGAGTTAATTGGAATTAAAATTCATAAGCCACTGCAAGTCAAAAGCTGTTACAGAAATGAGATCAGATACAAGATTGGCTACCTGTTCTAAGCGATCAAAAAGAGAAGACTTTTTGTCGTATCATTAATGTAGGTAAGAAATAAAACAGGACCAAGGATAGACTATTGAGGAACCCCAGAAGTTACTGGAATTGATAAAGAGTTTTGGTCTTTGAGAATGACTTTAATAAATTGGCTAAAAAGAAATGATTTGACAATCTAATAAACTTTCCCAAATACACCATATGAAGCATAATTATTGATAAGACCAGCATGCCAAACTTATTGTAAGCTTTAAATATTTCTAGGGTAATAGCCCTTGCCTAGCCGCCTCCAATGCATCATAGAGACTTTCAGTCTTAACATCTAATGCATCATAGAGACTTTCAGTCTTAACAGTTAGCATGTCAGATCAAAAATCATAGTCATTGTCAGAAAATAAGTTATTAGACTGAAGATGGGATATTGGAAATTTGTTGATCAAAGAATCAAAGACTTTGCTACAAACAGATAGAAGATTAATCAGACGATAGTTCGAAAGGTCAGATTGTTCTCCAGAGTTTTTAAAAATTAGAGCCATCAATGAGATTTTCTAACAAGATTTGAAAGCAAGATTCAGTTAAAAGCTTATTAAATAGTTTAGAGAGATTTGAAGAGAGCTCAGGAGAACACTTTTGTAAGACTGACTGGAGTGTTGTCTGGACCACAAGCCGTAGAAATGTTTAATTGAGAAATGATTTCAGTAATCGAAGCTAAGTGATTTGCATGCCTAACAATCTTTTAATCTGTTTAACTGGAATTGCAGGAAGAGTATGGCCATTCAATTCAAGAGTCAAATTAGAAAAGTTTTTTGCAAATAGTTCAGCCTTATCTTTGGAAGAGGTTTTAAAGTATAAGAAGATTTTTTAAAGTTCTTTGGAAGATTTTTTAAAGTTCTCTAGAGCCTAGCATCTAAAATAAATCACAAGATGACAACTGAGAATGGAGATCAGCATCAGACAGCACATTTTTACATTAATTTCTTACGTCTTCTTATATTATTATTTACTACTTACCTCTCATGAAAACTATATGCACAATCAATTGCTAAATCAGCATCTGCTAAAGTTGCTTCTCTCTATCATGCTGAGCATTTTCTTACTCCCGATTTCATTCTTTACCTCTAGAAAACTCTTACTCACCCCTTTATAGAAGACTGTTGTCATATTTTAGCTGTTACTTCTAATGGTGCTCTTTTTCTTCTTGACAAGGTCTAAAAAGGGATTGTAAACTTAGTTAGACCTGTTCCATCTGCCAAACTTAAGCCTCTCTCCCATCATTATAAGGTTGTGTCTCTTTTTCTTTTCTACAAATACTATCATGATCACTGCTCAAAGAAGTGATCATGATCTTATCTTCTCTAGTTTCATCAATTAAAACTCATTCTGGCTTGTCATTCAGAAAAGTCTCATTCATTTCATGTATCATGCTCTAAAAACTTTTATTCATATAGTTTATTTCCCTGCACTTAATCTCTTTGGAACTTTGTTTTATCTCCATGTTTTCTCTAGCCTTTACTTAACAAGAGCCCCAAGACTGGAAAGTTTTAGGTCGGAGTTTATTTCTCCTAGCCTTTGCCTAAAAAAGCAAACCCTACAACTTTAAAACATTAATCTAAATATAGTTTTTGCATTTCAACTTCAATATAAAATATATCATAGATTTCAAAATGGCTGAACAGTGGCAGATTTATACATTTAAACAAACGTTTTATTTAATTTTTAATTAAAGTAATTAAAATCAAAATGAAATAGAAACTTTTTTATTAAATTCTAAATTAAGAAGATTTAACAAAAATAAATGGAACGACAAATTCTTTCCCCACATTCAAAATGATAAAACGCACATTATGCCTAAAATCCAAATACAAACTATTTATTTAAATGGTAAACAAAACATTTAAATTAAAAACAGAAGAACAAGTACTTTTTTTAATTATAAATAAAAAAGTTAAAAGAAAATTGGCAAGACCTAAGGCATGTAAGAAAAGTTGGCTAACTTGGCATTTGTTTTTCTGTCAATTTTATACTAAACGTTCGCATCTTTGATGAATTATCAAACCCTGTTTCTAAATTTTGGGCCAACCTGATGGCAATTTTTTGCTGCCCTTTTTTTTCCTATTTCTGAGGGCTGGCTAGTTTAAAACTTCATCACTCTAAAACCAAAACAAATTTAAATTTCAAGTTTTCTGGTGAAAAATCTCCACTAGAGAGTGACACAAGGACAAAAATCATCCCCGTCCTGACTTCATCTCCATTTAAATTTTTCCATCCACACCCCATCCCCATCAAATTTGTTGAAAAGGTATAACTTTAGTATTATTATTAAACTAGCAGTAAGCAACCCGTAATATGGGTTGTTAGTAAATAAAATAAAAATAAAAAAATGTGTATAGAAAAGCCTAGAAACTACTTTAAAATAGAAAAGCCTAGAAAATGGCGTAAGTCGACTATTAACTACTGCTATTAAATTAGTGTATTAATATTATCAGATAAAGAAAATATGCTTTTTAATTTAAAAAAAAAAAAGTTGTCCATTGGTAATTTTGTCTGAGTTAGAGCTGATTCTTTTTTTGTATCTTCGTTTTTATTTTCTTCTGCAAGAGTTTGGTTTCTCTTAAATTTGTTTTAATTTTCTTGATTTTCTTTTTTATTTAAATTATTTAAAAAAAAAAAGAAAAGAAACAGCATATTTAAAAAACTTAATGTAGAATTTTTTCTATATTCAGTTTTTTAAATATCTTTTCCTTCTGTTGCATTTTTATTAACTGTTTAAATCTCTAATTTCTTTTGTGTACTGTTAATTTCTAAATATGATTCTTTATAAATTTCATCATGTGATTGATTATTGTTGGCTTCTATCAAATCGTTGATTTGTTTTAAGCTATTATTGAATTTAAGTTTTTTATAAAAATTAAATAGTTCTCTAAATTCATTTGAACAAAAAGTAACTTTATTATTAAGTGAAGTTTCAAAGAAGCTAGCTTTTGTGCTAGTTGCTAGTGCAACCAATACAGTAAACAATAACCCTATCTAATTTCTTGGCTAATAATGTTAATCTTAAATACTTAAATAGTTAAATCCTAAAGTAGGTAGAGATTTAACTGAAAAAGAAAAATACCTTAGAAGAAATTTTGTGGCTTCACTTTTGGCTAGTTTTTATTTATTTATTTTAATTTTTAAAATAGATATAAAAGTCAAATAAGATTGTTACAATAAAATTTTTTTTTTAATGATTATTAAGTAATGTATATAAAATTAATAATGCATATAAAATAATGATTATAAAATAAAATAATTTTTAATGATTAAATTATTTTATTTTATAAAAATGATGTTTATAAATATGCAATAATTATACATCCAAGAAACTGTTCTACCATTAAAATAATTTTTCAATAAATTTGCTGTTGATTTTCTATTTTTTAAATAACTTAAAATAGATTCTATTTATATTTTTGTTATTAAGTCAGTTTAAATCCAAAATCTTTTAATTTAATACTCAGTTCAGTTAGTAGCTTGATAACAAACTTAATTTGCTACTCAGTTCAGTTAGTAGCTAAATAACAAACTTAATTTGTTACTCAGTTCAGTAGTAGCTTGATAAGAATCTTAATTTGCTTAATCATAATTGTTTTTTTTTAACAAAATAAAAAATTTATCAAGATATTCAATTTATTTAGTTTTTTTGTTTCTCCATCTTTATTTATCTGGTCTCAAGCTTTATTGAGCTTAATTATATGAAAATAAATTCTGTTAAATACATAGCCTTATATCTTCAAGACTTCATAAATTCAGAATAAATAACTTTTATAAGTGTGTATGTTAATCACTTTTATATTTATTTCTTAAAATAAGTATAAACGAGTACAAAAAAGTTAATTTTGACTGTGTTCAAACAAAAAAGACATTTTATATATTTAATTATTTAGACTGTGTTTGAACAGAAGAGACATTTAGATGTTTTGGATCTTATTAATCTTCAATGTCCTCCTGATGCTCCAGATTATATCAGAGTAAGTTTCTTACATGATTTTATTCAATTTTTTAAATTTGATTTATTGGTGAATTCATTTTCGATTTGTTTTTTAAAAGTTTTTTAAAGCATTGAAAAAAAAGTAAGAAACTCTCTTTATTAGTTTACTTATTTATTAGTTCAGTTTAGTAAAAAAAGTTTGTTATAAAGAATGAAAAGCTTCTGGTTTGCAATATTGTTAAAAACACAAACTAATGCTTAACTTTTTTTTGTTTTTTACAACCAATTGTAATCTCCTGAGCAGTATATTTAGCTTTTTTTATTTAGTTTTTTATTCTGCCGTCTATAACACTTAAAATAAAGTAGATTAAAATTGTTATAATAGTTTAGTTCCAAGTATAACAAAGTTATTTTTTGAGCAGATGTCAATTCAGATAATCATCATTAAATGGTAATTTTGCTTCCAACATAGTAAATTTTGCAACACAAATTGGAATAAAAATAACTTTTGTTAGCATATATGAAATAATACATTAAAAATATTATAAAAACCAAAACAGGATCAAAACTTAAATTAGCTTAAAATAAAAAAAAAATAAAAATCCAAATAAATGCTTTTCATGTCTTTTCAGTCAAGCTGTAAATCAATAAAAAAAAAAAGGAAAATACAATTTTGTCCTGACATTTAAATATTTGAAAATTAGGCATTCTAATCTATAAGTTTAATCTGAGTTTTAACTTATTGTTATAACTTGTTGCGCAAGTTAGAGAAAAAATTGTCAAGCTCAAAAGGAATTTTGTAAAACAAAGACTTTTGTAGTAAGAACTAAAGTACTAATTCAAATGTAAAATTTATAAACTTCCATAATGAGCTTTTTCATATAAATATTAGTGATGTACTGATCAAACATTTGTGGCTGACTAATAGCAATGTCGATAGACAAAAAACATGCTGATTATAAAAATTATAAAAATGCAAAAAACATGTTGACTGTAAAAATGTTAATAATGACAAGATTTCAGGATATAATCATCACAACTATTCTACTACTTGTATAATGTAAACCAGTATAGCCTGCACATATCCTGGTGCGTAAGAGGACTTGCTTTTCTAGGCTAGAAAAAGTTAACTCTGTTTTAAAAAACCTCCTTATCTAATCTAATACCCCCTTATCTAATCTAATACCACCTTATCTAATGCTAGAGTTAGTGGCTTGTTAAAACTACATTACTTTATCAAGTATTAACATTTAGCTGATGTCTTACAGAAAGTTTGTTAAGCGATGACTTTCGAGTAATACAGAAAGGATTCTGTAGAACAGAATTGTCTTCCATCTTTGTCTAATAAGTAGGTGTAGAATAAAACCTGTGATACATTCTTTCCTACATAAGATAATAAGCAATTAATCTTCTTGACCATACTCGTGGATTTTTTATACCACCTTGGTAGCGGTTATGCAAATCTTTTTCTACAATTTTCTAAAAAGGTTACAGCTTAAAAACTCAATTTATTAGTTCTGAGGCTGCTGGTAATAAGGCTTCTCAACTCTGTATTAGCTTTCAGAAAGGCTGCTTCCATCAGTAGTCGTGAATATTAGAGTTAGCAATGCCATTTTGTGCATGGATGGTGTCTGTTAGTACTATGCTAAGGTCACATAAGGTTTCCTTTTTTACAAAATTAAGTTTGCTTGGCTATAAAACAGATAGCCAAACGTTAATCTAATTCATCTTCACTTACGAGCTTGGGTCTTGTAATGACTGGTGAAACTCAAACAAAACCCAGTTATTTACTGCTAATACTTATCACAGTATTGTTTATAATCATATATTGATTAATGGCAACACTCTTCTGAGTCCTCTACTGTCTATGTCTTCTCAGATTTTCATTTACTAATGATCTCGTATGGAAGCCATATATACTATTGCAAGTTAACATATGCTAAGGTTACCTCTCTTTATCTCATAATATTCTTACTCTTGATTTCATATACACTAGCGTGCAAAAGTCTTTAATCAAAAGTCTGATTTCAAAGTCTGAACCATTCAGAGACAATTTTAGCCCTATGACATGGTGCATTGTCTTGCTAAAAAATGAACGGAACGCTTTGCTCAAGTGCAGGGGTGGATGCAGCATTTTTTGATGTTTGAGATGCCTAACTTCCAGACATGGAGCAAACTCCAAAAATTTATGTTTATACTTATATCAAATAAGGATGCTTTACAAAAAATTGCAATGATTGGAGCCTGGGAACAAAAAAGCCCTAAAATTTTAGCTACACCTGCCCCAAATGTGAGAGCAACAAGTTGATAAAATAATTTTTATACTAACCTTAACTCAATCTATATTCATCGACAAATTTTAAAATTCACACAAAAATCTTTTAACGTTCAAAAACTATGATAATAAAAGGTTTTAAGCCCCCTCAATTTGAGGGGGTTGCAAATTTTATAAGGCCATAATTGTTGAATGCTAATAGATTATTGTGTGAGTTTTAAAATTTATAGATGAATATATATTTGGTTAAAAATAGTAGAAAAAATATTTTATCAACTTGTTGCTCTCACGTTTGGGCCAGGTGTAGCTTATATTTAATAATTACACAAGATTAAACTCAAGACACACAAACTCATTGGATCAAACTCAAGACTTAAATTGTACTAAACTAAGCGGACTTTTGCTTTTATATATATGCAGAACTTTCCAAAACAAGCTTAGAATTAAGAATTATATTCAGTAATTACACAAAAAAAAACCATCTACAATATATATTTAGTATTAAAACTTGTGTTTTATAGTAAATATTATTATTGCATAATATTTACTTAAGAAATTAATTAAATTAAAACAAATTTAAGGCAACTTGCCTATACACAGATTCAAGATGTTTACATAAAAAAGCAAAAATTTACGCTACAGTATTAAGTACGACCTAAGACTTTAGCACGCAAGTGTATGACCTGCATAAATTTTTTTATTTGTTTACATATAGAGTACTTTTTTCGTGTTTGGTCTGGTTTTTCTAATGAAGTTCTTTTAAACAAGAAACCCTCTCTCTTTTAAACAAAATCAAAACACATTGTAAATGTTGTTGGACCTGCTTTAGCCACCAATTTTTTGTACAGTTATTTCTTAATCTCTGTTCTAGAAATACTGCCACAATTTCTGCTCAATTGAGCTGTTTATTTATCATTACTTGTTTCTTCAATCAAAACTCATGACACATCATTCACAACCTTTGAATGTTTCTTTGTGCTCAATAATGTTTTATTTATCTAGTTTTTTTTCCACAAACATAAGTTCTTTGGAATTTTCAACCAGCTTTCATATTTTCCTAACACAGAAAATTTACAGTTTTTTCTTCGTGCAAAAGGTACTTAATTAACCCAAAGCTGATTAGTCTACATCACTACTTGACATGATAACTTTTGTATTCTTTAATTTATAAAATCATTTCCATAATCAGGTTTGTCATTTTGACATAATATATTTTGTGCACTTTACTTTTTAGGAAATTTGAATAATGCAAAAAAAATTAATGTTTTTTTTGCATTATTCAAATCATTCCAGATTAGCCTCAGTTCATCCATCATCCATAAGTTTAACTATCTCAATCATCTCAATAGACAGTCTTTAATAATCTTCAACATCCTAAAATTAGCACTCAACCATCTCAAAAATCAGCTTAATTATCTTTTTGTGTCGCCATTGTCAGTATACCTTTTTTCAAGAGTGACATCAGTGTGCAGATGTTTTAGGCACACATATTTTTTAATATTTTTATTTTATATTCCATTATTTATATTTTAGATATTTTATTGAAATGTTAATTTATATCTTAATTATTATTTTTTTAAGGTCCATGAAAGAGTATACAATGATATAGAAAAGCATCAGTTGTATGATCTTTTGCAATCAACACGTTATTATGGTGGAATGGTTTTTTTCTTTGTGAAGAATAACAAATTTCATACATTCCTCAATTTTCTTTTAGAAAATGAAAGGTAATATTAAAATGAAATATACCCAACACCTGCTTTTAAGGTGTACAAGAAGGTGGCAAGTAAATAGGGGCTGCTCATGTTGTAATTTTGTAATTGCAATTATTGAATTTATTTTTTAATTTAAAAAAATAGTACAAAATTTTTTGTGTTACCAGCAAATTTATAAAATAGTCATGAGCAGCCAAGAAAATACAGCATTAGGGCTTCAAAAAGACTAAGGCTAGCACTGGTGAAAAAAAGACGAAGGCTAGCGCTGAAGAAAAAAAGTCTTTTTTTCTTTGACCTTTAAGATATTATATTGAAGTTTGTATTATAGTATTGTAGTAGTAGTTTATATATTTTAGCACATTGACATCCATGTTTTTGTTTTTAATCCTAATTCGCTTCAAACAAGGCTGCCACAACCACTATTAAGTTAGGAGTTGCTAGATAACAAAGAACTCGATAATTGACCACGGAAATAATATTTAGTTGCGAAAAACCAGCCAGATTTTTTAGTCGTTGTGAGAACATTTCAAAAACAAACAAAAAAGCACAATAAGATTACCTGGACCGATAAGAGACAGTTAAAAAAAGAAAAATAGCTTTCAACGCGAAAAAACTTTAGGCAAAATAAATACAATTAAAGCAAATATTTTTGGAACATCGCTCTTTTATAATTTTTTTAAAAAATTAGGCGGCATTTATTATATAAAGTAACAACTTACTAATAATGATTGTTTAATAAGGAAACAAATGTTTTTCGATTTATCAAAGAGTATACATAATTTTTATTTATATACTCATGTCTTATTTCCAGTGCTAATTTCAGGAGGGAGGGGGGGGAAAGAGGTAGTAGAAGGGCTATAGCTTCGGGACTCACAATGTTAGGGGGTGCAAAATATTCAAGAGAACCATTCGGTATATTTTTTAGTCGTGTTTATGTTGTGGCACATGAAAAAGGCCACCTAAATAAGACAGCACCCGGCCCTGAAAAGTCCAACAAGATTCAACCAATAAAACTAACGGTAGATGATTTATTTATAAATAAAAAAGTTTTTTCAATAACTGTTTTATGCTTTGCGTAGCTTGAAAAGTTTAACACATTTGAAACAATTCTTTATAGTAAGATAAGCAAAGGAAATAATTAAATCATTGAGTTACTGTAGAAATTCAATTAGCTAGATGGAAACTAACTAAAAACGTTAAATTACTTTGTGAGGAGGAAGCGGAACTGCTTCACAATACCGCTGAAATGTTTAGCCAGTGGGCTTTATAATTTTAATTAGTATCTAAAACAGAAAAAGTAACTTTAAGTTTAAATATAACGATTTTATAAGAATGGCTGAAGCAAAAATAGTTTAGTATAAATAAGTTAGTAAACCAATTTCTAAGAACTTAAAAACTTTTCTTTTTGGGGGGAAAGAATCAGTTATCGGGTACACTAAGGAAAATAAATTAGCGGTTAAAGTTTTTTGGGGCAGACATGTATTTCATTCACCCCCCTTTAATAAGTCCGTAAAAAACGAGTCATGTTTTACGCATAACATTTATTAAAAATTATACTCTAACCTGAACCCCAAAATCAAATTTTTTATATTGAAAGCCATACCCAAACCAAACCCTATACCAAACCCGGACCCTAACCATAACTTTTAGGGTTAGGGTTTGGTTAGGGTATGGTTTTTAACAATACTCGTTTCATGTAAGACTTTTTTACGGACTTTCTATAGGGGGTGCCTGAAATAAGCGTCTGCCTTTTTTTGTATTAACTTTGATAATTATTAATAATTTCATTGAAAACGCAGTTATTATTGAAAGTATTTTTGTTTACAAAATCAATCGCACAAATTGCTTTAAAAGATTGCATTTGAATAAAATATACATACATAAAATTACATACATAAAAAATACATACATAAAAATACATTACATACATAAAAATATATTACATGCATAACAAATACATTCCTTATATATAAAAAAATAAGAATATACTAATAAAATCTATTATATATTTACAAAACTTTGACAAGTTAAAAAATATAAACTTAAAACATTTATTTTTGTAAACAAATGATGTTAGTTTAAAACATTTATAGCTTTGTAGATGTGGCTCCGAGAATGAGCCATAGAATTAAAAAAAATAGTTTGTTTGATAGTATATTCTTAAAACAATTTAAGCTAGCTATTTTTTGAATACTCTAGAAATTTCAGTTAGTTTTTTTTGAACCAATAGAATTAGTTGTTTGTAGATTTGGCGGGATTTTTGTGTTCGCGAATATTCTTTTTTTATTTTTGCGCACAGACCATCAAGTTTATGTATTTTTCCATGTATGTTCCTAAAACAAAATATTTTAAAATTTACAATAAAATATTGATTATTTTGCGGACAAACTAGGAAACATACATTAACTTAAATGTTCTCAAAATGACTAAAAAATCATCACATGCCCTGTGTGTGTGTGTGTGTGTGTGTGTGTGTGTGTGTGTGTGTGTGTGTGCTCAGCGTAGTTAAGGAGAGGTCTGAAAAATTGCATTTCTTAAAAACTAAAATTTGCGTTTTTAAACTTCAACTTTTTGTGTATTTCACTTATTTTCAACTATTACTATTATATATTTTTAAAAAGTAAAATTTAGGCTTTTCTTATATAATTTATTATTTTTTCATAAATCTTTTGAACAACCACTAAAATACATAAAACATGATGGGGCAGCGTCATTAAAACATATGAAACAAATGTGTTATTTTTTACATTCCAAAAGTATCTCTTTTATATAAAAATAAATAGCTACCATGTTTACAGCGTCAAAATATTCAATAAATGGCTAAAAACCTCATTTTATTTTTCCTTGAACAGTAAAAACGTTAAAATCAAAGTTTTCACATTAGTTTTCCATCATAGCAATTTACTTTCATAATCTCTTTATAGTCGTTTGAATAAATTACCTAAAGAAAAGGTTTCAGCTTTTATATAACTGCTGCCCCAAATTAATTAGTTAAAATCTTAAACTCGTAGATTTCAAATTACCGAATATTTGTAAACAAAATAAAACAATGAGCTTCATGATTTTTTTTTAAAATAACCCAATCAAAATGCACACAAAAGAAAATGGCGTTTTTTGAAAACAAAAGGGCCTGAACGCTATATTTTTCTTCGGATCTCTCCTTAACTATGTTGAGTGTATGTATATAAAGGGCTTTTCTAGATTATTTGCGACAGTGATGACCGTATTTAGGCGCTGCCCAAATTAAAATTTAAGGGTTTTTTTTTAATGTTTTTAGAGCCAATTTTGCAAATGTCTATGTATATATATGTATGTATGTATGTATGTATGTATGTATGTATGTATGTATGTATGTATGTATGTATGTATGTATGTATATGTATATATATATATATATATATATATATATATATATATATATATATATATATATATATATATATATATATATACATAGATACATATATATACATATACATTTGCAAAATTTGCTCTAAAAACGTTTAAAAAAAACCCCTCAAATTTTAATTTGGGTGGCGCCTAAATATATATATATATATATATATATATATATATATATATATATATATATATATATATATATATATATATATATATATATATATATATATATATATATATATATATATATATATATATACACACAGTCCTGTGACATTAAAATGAAAACACTTTTGATACTTGATTACTTTTTAATTGAACAATATGTAACAATGTTATAGAATTTAATCACACATTTTAAAGCGGTAAAAAAGATTTAGTTAAACAAAGCGTGTTGACAAAAAAAACAAAAATCAATAAAATATTATAGGGCATATTTTATCGTAGGTACAATTTGGATATTCTTATAAAATGATTAAGAAATTATTAAAAAAGAAATCAATCAAAGTTTTAATATCAACTATTAGTAGAGTTTAAAATAATGTGGCATAGGGTTAAAAATAATAGGGTCTCACAACTCAATATTTTAATATCTTTTAAAAAAAAAATTTTTTTAAAGCAATTATTTTTGAAATTTTTATAAAATTTCTCTTCCTTTCAATTTCATTTTTTTTTAATAATATTGGAGGACCAATTAATTGAAAATGGAATAAATATTGAGCATAAGTTAGGCTAAAATTAATTGCAAAAGATAACCACACACTGCTTCGATTTAGATGTTTTAGGTTGACCTAAAGGTACTCAAGATGTTTCAAAAGGTATCAATACTTTGGGTGGGTATGAGATATATTCCATTAAAAACAAAATAAAAAGCGTTCCTTTTTTGGATTTATTCGCTTTTTTAAATAATCACTTTGCAAAATAAATTTTAACTCAGTAGCGGATCAAGCGTTTTTTGGTGTTTTAGATACCTAATTATAAACATAGAGTAAACTCCAAACATTTATATGTTTATACTAGTGTCAAAACAAGGGAGTTTTGTAAAAATATCGAAATATTTGGTGCCAGGAAACTAAAAAAAACCTGTAAATCTTGCCCCCTGCACTAAAGGGGAGAGCAACAAATTCATAATTTTTGTTATAAACTATTCTTAACTAAATTCATATTAATTTAGATATTTCAAATTTTATGAAAAAATCTTTCATAGATCAAGAATTATGTCAATCTTAAATTTGTAACCCCCTCAAATTTAGGGGAGTTAAAACTTTAAATGGCCATCATTTTTGAACATTATAAAATTATTGCACGAAATGTAAAATTTCTTATAAAAAATGAACTTAGTTAAGAATAGTAAAAAAAAAAAAAATTTGCAAACTCGTTGCTCTCATGTTTGGGGCATGGGGGGCAAAAAATTAGGGTTTTTATTGTTTCCAGGCTCCAATCATTGCAATAATATGCAAAATATCCTTATTTGACATAAACCTAAACATATAAATGTTTGGATTTTATGTTTGGAAACATATAAATGTTTGGATCTTATGTTTGGAAGTTAGCTTTCTCAAACAAAACAAAAACACAGAATCCACCCCTTGTCTCAACTATCTATAAACTTTGAATATCACTAGAATAAAACAACACTGAGACAAATACAAAGTATTAAGTTTTTCAAACATTTTTCATTCATGATTACTTCTTTATTTTACAATAATGCAATATTTAGTACTATATATTAAATTATTCACATCCTCATACTAGAGTAGGTTACGGCCGTTTTACAAAGCTTTTCTCCATGGCATTTGCTCAGCTCCAAAGCTGCAAATCTTTTCATTGTTTTGTTAATATTTTTGTGCACAGCTTCACAGCTTTGCTCACTGAAAATTCCCAAGGGTTTGTTTTTTCTTTTCAAGAAACATGGGGAGGTGTGACTGTATGATGTGAAATTTCTAACCTAGACAGATCTTGTGTGTCGTGTATTCTATTAGATACTTATGCAAGTTGCACATTTCACCATTTTTGTCATTGTTTTTACTTTCACAGTAACAGCAAGCATTCTCTCCCCTGTGTGCCTTTAAGTATTAGTATTAAAAAAGACTAAATAATAAGTTAAATATTGATAGAGTAATAAAAATCAATCATTTTTTATAAATTATTATGCAATTACACAAATTAATTAATGTTTAACTTACAGAAATGCCCAGTAAACAATTAATAAGCTTCAGGTCAGCTGCTACTGTGTATTTTAGCTCATTTAGCTTAAGTAACTAAATAAGCCTCTCCAAATTATAGTTAATTTCTTGTACTCCATGTACAAGACCCAAAATAAGAACTATATCGACCCCTGTATTTTTCATGTTTCTTTTCTCTGATTGTAGCTCTCCTGGGTTGAAGATGTTCATTATGACTTTCAATGAACCTTGACCTCCATCAATACCAACTCTTATTAAGCAATTGTAGGGGTTAAGTTTTCTGTGTTCACAAATCTTTTTTATTAGTTCCCACGGTTCAGGAACAAATACAATATCTTTTTGAATTGTATCAACAACCTTGCAGTTTCCATTGTTGTGTGTTTGTTGAAATCTGCATAAAATGTTTTTATAAAATTGATTTAACTGGAAAGATTTGTCCTTAACAATTTTTGAGGCATTAGGTTCAATACCTAGCAAAAAATACAAGAATAATTTATAAATATTTAAGGAATATTAATATATGCAAAACAAAGTTCGTGTACATTACTGTTACCTCCACGACCCAGGTCTTTACGTATCTCAGTCATTATACAATCCATTGCTGACATGGGAAGATCCATTTTCTTTTTTATATTAAATAATGTATCTGAAGATATTTCTAAAATAGGTTTATGCACATCTTCAGAGTAGAGAGCAACATGAAGGGCTTTACCACCTACAAAAAACATATGACAAACGTTCTATTCGCTAATGTTTAACTTTAATATAAATGTATTTTATAAAATTAATAATAAATATAGATACATAGAGAAATATAAATACACGTTTACCTGTTGCTACAGCTTGTTCGTTATTTTCAGATATTTTATACATATCTTTTAGTACAGAGGAAATAGCTTGTTGGGAGGTTTTTGAGCCTTGAAAAAGAATGAGCTTATGTAGGTTTTGCACTATTTCAGATTTTGTGCAAGGGTGTCTAATACCTTTACCTACCTTTGGCAGCAATCTGTGCAAAAAGAACGTTATTTACATCTAAGGGCTTATGCGTATTAGCAAATTCGATGACTTCTCTTCTCTTTTGCAATACAGCAAATGGGACATGTGCATAAACTAGTATCCTGCAACCTACCTAGTTTTTGTAATAATATTCTTCTAATCTACCACAAATCTTCTATGTTTTGAGAAACATACCCTTCATTCTAAAATTTTTTAATATAGTGTTTTATATACGTTTATATATATTTACATTTTCATATATCGTCAATACATCAGCATTAATGACAAACTTTTATTTAACCTTTTTTAAATGAAGATAATTTTTACATGTTGAACAAACTCCAGATGGTAGAGAATTGATTTCTAAACAAAAGCCTGAATCCACATATAGAATAATGAGTTCTTGTAGAGCTGGGTTATTCTCTAATTTATGACATTTTACGTCTTTATTTAGACAGCAAAAATAAACTATATTCCTGGTTTTTTTTATGAAACCTTTATCTTGTTAAGCTCATTTTGACACAACACTGGGAGTTTTTCAATGAATCTTTATAATTTTTATATTAATACCTAAATGTAAAGTAAATTTTCAAACAGTTCCAATGCAGAGATCTTTTCAGGTCTAAAATAAAGCTAAAAATAACAACAAAGGCATTTTTATATATTTGAGACAAGGGGTGGATTCTGTGTTTTTGTTTTGTTTGAGAAAGCTAATTTCCAAACATAAGATAAAATCCAAACATATATATGTTTATGTTTATGTCAAATAAGGATGTTTTGCATATTATTGGGATGATTGGAGCCTGGAAACAATAAAAACTCTAATTTTTTGCCCCCTTGCCCCATACATGAGAGCAACGAGTTAGCAAATTTTTTTTTTTACTATAGTTATATAAGTTCATTTTTTATAAGAAATTTTAAATTTTGTGCAATAATTTTATAGCGTTCAAAAATGACAGCCATTTAAAGTTTTAACCCCCCTTAATTTGAGGGGGTTACAAATTTAAGATTTCCAATTCTTGAACTATGAAAGATTTTTTCATAAAATTTGAAATATCTAAATTAATATGAATTTAGATAAGAATAGTTTATAACAAAAATTATGAACTTGTTGCTCTCCCCTTTAGGGTAGGGGCCAAGATTTACAGGGTTTTTTAAGTTCCCTGGCTCCAAATATTTCGATATTTTTACAAAACTTCCTTATTTTGACACTAGTATAAACATATAAATGTTTGGAGTTTACTCTATGTTTATAATTAGGTATCTAAAACACCAAAAAACGCTTGATCCGCTACTGAGTTAAAATTTATTTTGCAAAGTGATTATTTAAAAAAGTGTATAAATCCAAAAAAGAAAAGCTTTTTATTTTGTTTTCAATGGAATATATCTCATGCCCACCCAAAGTATTGACATCTTTTGAAACATCTTGAGTACCTTTTAGGTCAACCTAAAACCTCTAAATCAAAGCAGTGCACTGTACATTATAAAACACTGAGTTGTGTTTTTTATTTAAAACTCTTTTTAAGACACCCTTTTCTTCATAAAAATAAAACCTTAAAAAAAAATTTTTTTTTTTTTGTAAGTAGTTTTTTTTTTTTACTGTTTGATTCTCAAAGCCAAGAAGAATTTTCTTTATACATTCAAAAAGATATGAGTTATTGTTAACTATTAATTAATTTAACATATTACTTAAGTTAATAATTATTTAAAAAAGAATAGATATGATGAGAAGTATATATGACAGTCTTAGTTTAAAGTGAACTAACTGATTGATAAAAAATAATAACATGCAGCTTGCAACAATGCTTTTAGACATTTTTTTACTTTTGTGATTTTCTTAATCAGTATCTGTAATTTGCAGTTTTAAAATTTTTATTTGAACCAATTTCTTAATTCACTTATATACACTTGTAGTTAGCATGAGATGCAATTGTAAACTCTCAAACAAAAATTAACTGGTTTGGCAGTAATAAATGGAAGAATGGCTGTATCAGTTAATTGTGTGATGAATTAATGATACATTTAGACAAATTTAGCTTAAATGAAATTTAAACAAAAAGGGTAGCCTACTTTTTATAATTTTTATAACCAAAACAATAAAATATTTGAAACCTTATAACTTTGTAATAGTGATTAAATTTTAAAAAACTGTATTAATGGTATAGTAATAATATTTTTTATTTATTTATACCTTGGTAAGTAATATTGTTTTTATTCTGTAGAATACCTGATGCCATCGATTTAATTAAACTGTACTCGATTATACATAATGTTGCATCAAATTCTGATGGAATAAATCTGTTGAAGGTAAATTGTGTTATACTTATAATCTGTTTAGTTTTTAACTGCAATTGTTTTTGAGTTATTTATCTTTTCTCAATTTCTATAAATTCTTTTTATTGCTTTTAAGGAATATTTAAAAGATCACAAGTTAGTCGACTCGTTAAACTTGCTACTAAAAAAAACTGTTAAAAAAGAGGCCATCTCAGCTTGAAGAATTTTATATTTCAGTTTGTATATCTTTCAGATCATTGATGGTTTTTCAAATTTTTAGTTTTTCTTTTTCAAAAATATTAAAAGAGAAAGAAGTATTTCTTATGGAAAAATTCATGTGAATGGGTTCTTAAAAATATTTTTATATTTTATATTTGAAAATATTTCACAGGCTTTATACTCACCAATTTGTCAACCCTGACCAATTTGTACAAATATAAAAATTAGTATTAAAATAATAATTTTTTATCATTTAAATATTGACTGTAAAAATTACTCAATATTGCTAAATGCTGCAATTAAAAATAACTAATGCATCTATTGGATTTTATGTTGTTACAATATGTGAATTTTTAAGTTATATCTTATGTATAGCTTGTTTTAGATACAAGAATAATGTTTTACATATGTTATTCTTGGTATGGGTGAAAATGGATGAAAGGTTTGAACATTAATGCTCATATAGTTATGATGAGTGTATCAAGATAATGAGTGCACTATATTCAATGTTAATAATAAGGAATTTTTGAGCACATGCACAGTGGGTTCTGATATGAAAATTGAGGACGAATATTGAACAAATATAATAATACTGGCTTTTAGAATGCATAGTATATATATTATTTGTTCTGCATGCAAAATAAATTAAAAAATAAATGATTATAAAAAAAATGTTTCTTGATTCTTTGTTGATTGTATGTTGAAGTTTTCATATAAAATTAATTTACCACCATGAAAGTTGTTTAACATTTAAAAGTAGTTTCAAATTGAATGTCTTTTTGAATAAACTTAGTAAAAATCTTTGTAAACTTTAAACTTTTTAAAACTTAAGTAACATTTTTTTTGTTGCAAATTTAAAGGTTTTTTTATTAGCAAAAATCCAAATCATAAGTTGTGCATAAGTTGTGCAAATATAGTTGAACAGTAATTTTTATTTTTCACAAAAATACTAAAATATTTTATTCTTGGTTAAAAATAACAAAAAATATTCAGTTTGATTTATGTTATAAGTTTGCAAAATTTTTACAAAATTTATGCCAAAATTATTTTATTTCATACAAAAATTTGCTAAGAAAATTAAAAAATTTAATTAAACAAAAGTTTAATAAGGTATACTCTATTAGAATAAGAGAGTCTTAGTTTGCACCCTTTAAACCACTAGCTATAAACTATTTGCTGTTTTGAACCTGAAAATAGGTTTTTTTCTTATTTAAATAAAGTTAAACATCACTTCAAGGAAAAACAGTCTAACAATCAAACTAACAATATAACCAAACTAGAAATAATTTGTTATAATTCAAGTTTTTATATTTAATGTGTTCAAATAAACAATCAAATCAATTAAACTAAAAATTATTATATACAAAATTGTTATATTTATTTTAAAAAAATAGCAAAAGTTTTTAAATGCTACTAATAAAAGTTGGTCATTTTTTACTTAAAACACAAAAATGGCAAGAAAATAAAAACATGTTCCATTAAATTATAAACAATATAAGATATCAAATAATGTGATGATGGATAAAGAAAATGACAATGAATCTTTATTTAAGATAAATCAAAAAAAAAATGTTGTTACTTTATTTTAAACTACTTTTTGTTATGCAACTCTTTATTTTTCATACAAAAATTGTTAAAGTTTGATTTGAATTTTACAATTAGAATGTACTTAATTATGATATATACAAAAGTTTGAATTTCTTTCCCTAGTTTAATACTTGAAAGGTTTTAAAATGAATAACATACATAAAAAACACCTCAAAAAAATAGAAAAACTACAAAAGTTTCGCAAAACAAAGAGTAAAAAGAAAAATGATTTGAATGGAAAAGAAAATAATTCAAAGGAAGAAAGCAATATTAACAGAAAGGAAAGTGGTTCAGAGAAAATTGTAAACGAGGAAAGTGTAAATGAAAAACTAAATGATACAGGTATTTATAGTTATGGTATAATTTTTAATAATTAATTCTTTTTTCAATTATTATGCAAGAGCAGATATATTGTTGCTGAAAAATGTAACTAGTCCAATTATGCTGTTGTGAAAAAACAACAGTCAATTGTTAAGATGAGTTAAAATATTTGTTTTATGTACACCTAAAGAGATTTCTGTTAAGCCCCATTTTTTTATCATTTTTTAACTTTTAAATTAATCTATAAGTGGTAAGATAAAAGAAGTAATTTACTTTGTAAATAACCACTTTAAAAATAAAGTAAAAAAGTTTGTTACAAAAGTTTAAATGACAGTTATATTGTATATAAGCGCTATTTACAAATATTGAATAAGGGCTATTTATAAGTGAAGAAAGCTCAGATAAAATTAAAAACAATATATATAGTAACATCAATATATTAAAGTTTATAACAAAAAGAAGTGAAATTATAAATATATTATCTTATAATTTTTTTTCTTAAAAAGCAAATAGTTTATTTTTATTTCTGTCTAATACATTTTTTTTTTAATTAAAAATTAAGTTTCTTGTAAATGTGTTCCAAGGCTGCATCAAAAATTTGTACTTAACATACATTTTGATTGTAAAACCTTTTCTCTTAAGACAAGCGGAAGCGCAACGATATATATTTTTCAATAAATGGTACTTGTAAACCTAAAATAATCATTGCTTTTACATCAAAATTGCTGGTAAAGTAGTTTTTAATATATAATAGCAATAAATTATACTTTATATGTTTTAATAATAATATACTTATATTTTTTTAATATTTTTTATTATATATATTTTTTAATAATAATATATAATAAATTATACTTTATACATTTATAATTAAAATTTATATTTTATACTCACTAATTTTTTAAAAATAAAAAGTCATTTTTAGTAGCAAAGCCAAGATTAAAATTAAATTAAAAATTAAAGATATAAGAAATAAAAAGTGTAAATATTTTATTATTTCAAACAATATATTAATATTTCAATTCATTTATACTCATTTTGAGAAAAGAATGAAATTAGTTTATATTAAACATTTAAGAAGTGTAATTTAACAAAATTTTAAAAAAAATGTAATTGAATTTAATTATTTAATATTAAAAAAAATAAAAATAAACTAAACATTGCATTAAAATATTTCTGCATTGTTTTTGTTCATTTTTCTGGTTTTGCGGAAATGTATTATATTGCGGTAGTTTTGATATTTTTAAAAAATATCAAAACGAAGAAAAATTTATGACTTCAAAATCATATTAAGCTAAGCATTTTTTATTTAAAACAAGGCCATATATATATATATATATATATATATATATATATATATATATATATATATATATATATATATATATATATATATATATATATATATATTATATATATATATATATATATATATATATTCAGTGACAAACTCAGGGTTTATTTGGGGATACCAATTTTTTATGGCAAATTAGGGGTTTCTTAAAATTTCAGTCTCCTCAATTCCCTCCTTCCCTCCTTTTTTTCTAGTTAAAACCGATGCTGTGACAATGATTTTTAAATATCACGTTGTTTGTGTTTACCTTCTTTAATTTTATTCGAAGATAAGGAGTTGATTTGAAATAATGTCTCATTATAAAAGGTATTTCTTTGAATACATTAATTTACCAGTAGACGTAAGCACATGCTACTTTAGTTATTCTAAAAAAAACTATATATATATATATATATATATATATATATATATATATATATATATATATATATATATATATATATATATATATATATATATATATATATATATATGTATATATATATATATATATATATATGTATATATATATATATATATATATATATATATATATATATATATATTAAAAAAAACAAGATGCTTTAAGGGAGATAAATACCAGGGGTCAAAATAAGTGCCGGACATTGCCACCCCTTTAAGCTATTTTTGAGACCAGTTTAATGAGGGAAAACCAACTATGTCAATAAAAAATGAGCAGTCGGTTGTTTTAAATTAATTACTTTAAAATAATATTTTTTTAATTATTTTTTATTCTTCTAAAATGTTTTCAAATCAATTGTGATAAGAAAGAATTAGAACTTTTTAATATTAATGGTGACATCATTGTTTGTCATTAGTTTAAGGAACTTTTTTTTTTAATTTTATTTGCTTTTTTCTTCTTAAACTAAGCCAACATAATTTTTATACCCTGGTTTAAACCCTGTTTACATATACAAATGTGTTTTACTCAAAAGTAGTCATAAATTTGTATAAAATAACCTTCAAATATACATGAAAATGCTAAGCAATCTATTTTCTTCAAAGAAACATCTTTTTCATTTTAAAACTTTTTAAATGAGTCATGTCATTTAGGCAATTAGTTTAGTGTATTTTTGCTATTCATATTATATTTTGTGTATTCATGCTATTCGACATGTCTTTCAAAAATGTTCAAAATAGTTTAGGCGTTAGACAGAAATCCAGATTTAGCTTAAGTATATTATAAATTTAATTACTGATTTTAAATGTTAGTATTTTTATTACTATTTTTTATTTTTATTTTTATTTTGAAGATAACACCAAAGTTATAAAAGATAAAAAAAGAAAAATGAATGATGAAGATAACAATGGTATTTTTTTTTCATCTATAAATAAAAACTTTCTTTTTTTTTATTGTTTACAAAGTCAAAGTTATATTAGAATATGAAAGCAATAATATTTAATTACTAATTAATTTTAATATTTTTTAAAAATTAATTTATAAGACTAATGCTTCATTTTTATTCATTAATTACAGCAACTCTTATATTTTTTATAGACCGTTTTACATTTTTAATTACTTTTATTAGATGTTAAGAAAATCAAAAGTTGTTCAGAGAACAAGGATTTTGTAGATGAGAGTGTAGCTGATGCTCAAACTCCTAATGAAGATAATCTAATAGAAAGCCTTCCCAATCAAGGTTTATTTTATTAAATTATTTGTTTTGTTTCTGCTTATTCATTTTTTTAATTTAATAAATTGTTTTTAAAGAAGCATCTCTTCCACCCAGTTTTTTAATTTAATTAATTGTTTTTAAAGAAGCATCTCTTCCACCCAGTTTTTTAATTTAATTAATTGTTTTTAAAGAAGCATCTCTTCCACCCAGTTTTTTAATTTAATTAATTGTTTTTAAAGAAGCATCTCTTCCACCCAGTTTTTTAATTTAATAAATTGTTTTTAAAGAAGCATCTCTTCCACCCAGTTTTTTAATTTAATAAATTGTTTTTAAAGAAGCATCTCTTCCACCCAGTAAAGAGTTTAAATCATTAGAAGGATTAGTGTGCGAAAAAACACTAAAAGGAGTTTTTGATATGGGTTTTACTCAAATGACTGAAATCCAATACAAAACTGTAATGCCTTTACTTAATGGAAGGTTAGTCATAAATGTTTTTTTAAATTCATTTCAAATTTTAGTTTATATTTTGATATTATAAAAATATGTAATATGTAAATTTTATATTGTCAAGACAAGTATATAAACATCTTAGTGAATTAAATTTTTTTATTTATAAATCCTCTACCATATGTTGTGGTATTCACAGTGGCATATTATTGCACCCATTCACTCCCATTAGGGAGTTTTTCTTGTATGTTTTAGATCCACTGCTAGTTAGTCTTGTGTTTTGCAGTAATATGTTATATAATATAAATATATACATATTTTTTTTACACATTTTATATATATATATATATATATATATATATATATATATATATATATATATATATATAACTTTGTAAATAAAAGAAAATACAATATTGTGCTATACTGTAATTATATTTTAAACTAGAATTTGATAAGTATCTTCAGGAACTATATTTTTTGAAATTTTGACTTTCTTCTTAACCTGAATTTGAAGTTTTTCATATTTAGTTTATGGATCTTACATATTTCCTTTATATCATCTAAAAATGAATGTTTTACTGAACAATAGTTAAGCTGGAAATTGATGATTATTTAATAGACGGATAAATAGGTTTATTTTATTTTATTGTATGCATGTTGACATCTTTTGAACTTTAAATAGAGAGTTTATATAGATTTTGCTATACTCGGGTACATTAAAAAAAGACTTGACTGCATTTCTTCCAATTTTATCAAGGCTTTGCATTATTAACTCTCTTTTTTCACAGAGTTCCAGACCATGCGTTAGCGTTGGAACTGCTGAAAATTTATATAATTAGATAATTGAAAATGCGAATTGGATACCAGATTGAATCACAGTTTGCACTGTTGTTTGAAAATTTGATACCCTATTGTTAATATTTGATCTATTTAGTAAGGCAATATTGGATTTTACTGTATCTCACATGAAGCCCAGATGATTAAGTTTTTTATTTGGTATTATTTGATAGTTGTCAGGGTTATCTTGCAATTTGTTACTTGTCGTTTTTCGGAGTGCAAAAGTTCTGTTTTGACAGTATTGAGTTTTACGTTGTTTAAGTTATTGTAAACATTACACGTTTAAGTTATTGTAAACATTACATGTACTTATAAGCCTTCAGAGGAAGTAGAGCTAAGCAGATTTCATCAGTATAAGCAGATTTCATCAGTATAAGCAAAAACACCTGTGAAGTTTCCATGTATAGAAGGACTGACAAAGTTAGCTTTTTTTATAGTTTCAAGCAATTTTTAGGTGTATACAGTTGATTCTCGATATCTCAACTACTCATTATTACAAACTTATGTGTATCTTGAACTTTATTTCTAGTCTCTTGCGCACTCGTTTGAGCCAAAATCCTCTCAATATTTCAAACTCTCGATATCTCGAACTTTTTTTACCGGTTCCCTGATTGTTTGATATATCGATAGTCAACTGTATGTTATACAAGTGGGACGACAAAATTGATCCTTGCCTCACACCTTGCTTGAGAGCAAATAAAATTGAATTGAAGCCATGGTAAGAGACAGTTGCACTACTGTTGTGATATAAAGAAGATACAATGTTAACTATTTGGAGAGGTATGTTGTTATCAAAGTAAAGTTTATCAAAGAGAAGATTCCTGTTGCAACAGTCAAATGCTTTTTCAGCATCTAGCGAAGTAAATAGAAAAATTGTTAGTGGAAATATGGAAATGCAGAAATACAAACTTTTTTACGCAGAAATATAAAGCAAAATAAGAAAATAAAAGTAAGAAAATATGAACTTAAAATAAGAAACTAAATAAATAAAATATGACTTAATTGCAAATAATATATGAAAATATTTATATTTAAAAAGTTTTTATTTACGCATAATACAATTTTTATTTTTCCGCATAAATTTGTTTATATTTCCGCATACTTTAATTCATATTTTTGCAAACTTTTTTGGTTAAGGATATTCATTCCAGTGTTATTTATTTTAATTTCTTGGTTGTATAGTTAATATTTTTTGATTGTTTTACTGTTAAAAAAATTTACCATCCCCATTATAATTTTTTCAATATTTTGTAATTATGTCAGAACAAAACAAGATCATCAAAAATTTATTACATCCTAAATATTTAATGTTTATTTACTGCTAGTTCCATGGGTTATATGAAATAATACATAAGCTGTTGTCATGCTAATTAAATTATGATAGTACATGGTGAAGTTGCTTAAGATGATACATTTTTAGACGCTCAAGATAAGATGCAGCTTTTTATTTAAAAAAGCACGTATTTTTTAAGTTATTCTCCGCGGAGCTTTATTTTGGTATTTCAAGAGCGAAAGTTTTTTCAAAATATAGTATCGTTAACTTTTTTGAGATAAGAAAGATTTATTATTGTTTTTTTTATAGTTGAGATAATTACTTTTCACTTAAGTATAGTCAATTTTAATTTAATATTTTTTTGTGAATATTTTTTTATTAATAACTTTTTTTGAGTTCTTTAAAAAAATGCACTTTTCTCAGGAAACTGGTTTCCTATGATGAGATGAGTGGGTGTGTTGAAAATAACGCAATTTTTGGTACAAAGATTTAATGAAATATTCATTTATATTCTTTAAGAGGAAAGATTAAATTATGATAATCTGCAAAAATAAATATAAATATTTAATATTTCTGCTTCAAAAAACCAATACACTGTTAACATGCTCAACATAAGCAACCGTCTCCTCTATAATGAATTTACAGTGGAAGTAAAATCTTTTAACTACAATTGAACTTACAATTTAAGTAAGATCTAAAAAATTTTATTCTTTGCTAAATAATTATTTAATATAATTAAACTAATTTTGAAAATTAGGTAATATCTTTAAAAATAACTTTTACAATACTTTTATAAAAATTTTATAAAATACAGTATGTGCAAGGAGGTTTAATAAACAGGAGATGCCCTAGTATATACTCTATATAAAACGTGACAAAGCCAGTTTTGCTGTCCAAAGTCAGCCACCATCATGGTTAACTTAAAATATTGTTATGTTTTGCGCGAAACTTTATTTTTTTAGTATAAAACTTTGCTGAAATCAAGTCAAAATATTGATATAAATGATTGAATAGTTTGCTAGTTGTTTTCGAGGTTGTAATATTCTACAAAGAATTGTTTGCTAACTGATTATTGCGTTCAGTTTATTCCAAAATATTGGAATACTAAGGTAGACATTCAGATAGTAAACACGCTTTTAGAAGGTGCCATGTTTTATACAGTTTGAACATCTTATGGTATTAAAAAAAAATCTTTGTGAGTTTTTTATTAAATGTTAACAAAATTAAATGTAAAATTAAATAAAAACAAATATATTAAATTTAGATATTTATCTTTCAATCTCTTAATTGTATGTATGTATGTATGTATGTATGTATGTATGCATGTATGTATGTATATATATATATATTATATGTATATATATATATTATATGTGTGTGTATATATATATATATATATATATATATATATATATATATATATATATATATATATATATATATATTATATGTGTGTGTGTGTGTGTGTGTGTGTCTATATATATATATATATATATATATATATATATATATATATATATATATATATATATATATATATATATATATATATATATATATATATATATATATATTGATATAGCTATAATGGAACTAAAATAAACTAATAGTTATATGGAGATGCACATAATTAAGCTGAAATTATTTTTTTGTTATTTTTTTTCTATAAAAATGACAATCTTTTTATGCAACTGTTGACTCATTATGAAATAACAGCTCTATATGATCTTAGCTAAATTAGAGTAAGATAAATATATCAAATGTAAATAATAAAACTAGAAAGAAACTAAGTATGCTATTACTATGGTGCTTCAAAAATGCCTGGTATGACACCATACTACATTCCCACACATGAGGGCCTATTCATATCAACTTCTGTACACAAAGCTGATTTAGTACTTCTTCTTTGAACACAACTGCTGATTTATGAGGACCAGTAAAGTTTTTTCTACAGAGCAGTTATCAACTTTTGTCAAATCTTGATAATTATTTTTTGATGGACTTCTATAAAAATATTGACTAATAAAACAAAAAAATCACCATAGTACTACCATATATGCTATTACTATGGTGATTTTATTAGTCAATATTTTGTAGAATATACTTTAATGATATATATCATTGCTTTGCAAAGTTTCCTGCTCAACGTACCTATGAAAGAAATTGCCATCAACGCAATTTTTTGCGTCCTAAGGCAAAATAAGTCATGTCAAATTGTATCTTTTTATCGACTGTATAGCCTACACTCAGTATAAGTCGTATAAAGCTAAAAAAAAAAAAAGAATTATTTAATAAATATGTATTTAGTTGTAAGTTGCTCTCTTCTTTTAAGAACAATCTATTTTGTAGAATACATTTAAAATTACTAAAATGTGTATATATATGCAAAAATATAAATATATATATATATATATATATATATATATATATATATATATATATATATATATATATATATATATATATATATATATATATATATATATATATATATATATATATATGGTTGAGTCGTATTTTATAAAAAAAAAATGGAAGCGCAACTAAGAATATTTAAAACTAAAAAGCGCTTTATAAAATATTATTGATTAATTATGCAACATCATGATAAGCATAAGAAAAATATTTTGTTATGTTTAATAATAAAAATTCGTTTTTAAAGAATGTTTAAAACTTTTATCTTTTATTTTAAATATATTCAAACCTGATAAGTAAACATTACATTTTTTTTGTGACTGAGTTTCAACAAACTCTTGTAAATAGCTTGTAAATAAGCCTTGTAGCACTTTGTTTTCTTTTATCGTAATTCTTGTCTCAATAGAACGAAATGCTCGTGGTAATGGCATTTTTTTAATGATAAAAACCCGATAAAAATGATGAGTAAAAGTATAAATAATATTATTTTGATAAACTCTTCTTAAATTTTAGGTTGTTAATGTACATATGTACAAAGTTTCAATAATTTCCTAATTTATGCAAATTCTTTTGTTCGAAAATACTTTTAAAACAAAAGAGTTTTTTGTTTACTTTTTAATAGCAATATGTGAATTGCGTTTTTCACTTATTAGTTTACGTACATAAAATACAACTCAACCTATTGCCGTTTAAAAACTGGCTTCAAAAAAGTCTCCTGCCTCCTGTTTAATAAACCTCTTTTGGGGTAGGGGTGGCTAAGATTTTAGGGTTTCTTTTTTCCATGCTCCTATCACAGCAGTTTTTTTTAAAGAGAATCTTTTCGTCATACATATGAATATAAAAAATTTTGGAATATTCTTGTTGTTTATAAGTTGGTTATTTCAAACATTTAAAAACCTTCCTACGCCACTGTATACAAAATTAAATTTGTTACATAAAACTCTTTATTTTGTTTCTGTTAAAAAACTAAAAATCGTATATTAAATTGTTTTATTTTTTTAAAAAGAAAAAGTAAAGATAGTTTGATAATTTTGCGCCATATTAAATCTTTGCGCCCGGGACAACTAGTTAACTAAACTTAAGGTTGCTATACTAGCTAGTTAAGTTAAAGGTTGAAAACTGGAGTCCACAAAAATAAATAATATGCAATCTTGGTCTGTCTTGGTGTGTGATTCAAAACCATTCCTTGACCACAGCTTTTTAAATGTTTTATGAACATTGTACTGAAATAATCAACTTTAATTTTTTCATCTTTTTTATTTTACTCAAAATTGTTTTATATAAGGTCACAAATTACTTTAAATGATTATTTACAGTAAAAGCATTATAAATGATCAAAGAATTGTATAAATTTAAAAAGTATTTAATTTTTATGATCATATGATCTTTAAAAACAATTTTTAAGATTAATTTTTATAAACAATGACAACTTTAAACAATGATCTTAAAAGAATTTTTTTTAACAAAGTTAATATAGTCAAAAACATAATAAAGTTATATAAATACATGCTTATATAAGTAAAAAAAACTCTTTGATAATTTTAGATTATCAAATTTAAATTATCATAACTTTTTGAAAATTTGTTTAAAAAAAATAAAATGTGTTTATTTACTAAACAATAATTTTATTTTTGAATATAGCTTTTCAAAATTAGTTTTTTTAATTTTCTCTTTCCATAAAATTGCTATTTTTTAGTTTAGTTTTTTTTTTTTTTTTTAATTTTCTCCCTATCGTCAAGTTTAGTTTTTTCAGAGTGTTTTTGATATGTTCTTAAATTTAAAAAACCGCAAAAATCTAAACTCCACCGATTTTTATGTAATGTGGTGTATGAATTCAATTAACCATTTATTTAACCATAAAATATGAAAATTTACAATAATATTTTATAAACTCACATAAATAAGGTTAGGTGTCATTTATATAGTTAAAATCTAGTCAATGGAATGACACCTAGAAAAAAAAATACCAAAAAAATACAAAAAAAAAACTATAAATAAAACAGAAAGAATTCAAAATAAAATAAAGAAGAAAAAAGAAAAAAAAAAAAGAAAGGAAAATAAAGCACTAATAAACAAAGATAATATTAATAAATGCAATAATAATATAATAAAAATAATAATAATATTAATAATAATATTAATAATAATGTGGATAAAAAACATTACAAATAGTAACTATATCATGATAACTTTACTAAAAATTATAACTAATGATAAAAACTATGGTAAAAATAATTATAGTAAAGTTTATAACTACGACTGAAATTATTAAAACAAACATAACAATTGCAAAAATAAGGACAATAACCATAAAAATATTAATAAAATTGAATCACTGTCACTATTATTATAAATAATATTAATAAGATTTATAAAACAAAGGTAAATTAATAATAATAGTAATATTAGTAGTAGAGTTTAAAAAAGTATAAAATAAAAGTAATAATAGTTTATAACTACAATAATATAAACAGCAATAATAATAAAAGATAAAATTAATATTCATTAAATATATATTCAAATGAAAATTCCTTAATTTGGTTTCAATTGAGAAAAAGAATGTTGGTAATAAAAGGGTATTTAGTTAAAATATTTTTTTTATAAATGGTATTATTTGGTTCCAGTGAGAAATACATTTATGTTTTATAGAGAGCTCGCCATATTTAAATAGTGTTTAAAAAGTTATTTTGAAGAAAATCAAACACAAAGAGACAATTATGAAGCTTTACAAGATCTTGAAATTTTGAATTCAGAAAACCTGTTTTCGATATGAGATCGTAAAGGAGGAAATGTCATAATTCTTAAAGAAGTGCGTTGTAAACTGTTTATACGATGTAATAGAAAACTACCTTTTTGACCCCAAATAGTGCAACAATAACTGGAGGAGAACAAGGAATAGAAATTGATATTAGAGTTGTTTTTAATACGACACTATGTTAGGGAACATACTGTCGTATTAATAATAGCATACTATTGGCACGTGAGAGTTTTTTATTTAATTGAATTAGTTGATAGTACCATGATAGGTTTTTGTCAAGAAATAACCCAAGGTATTTTGTATGTTTAGATGGAAAAAGTCTTTTACCATTAGTTTTAATTTTCACATTATTACTATCAATCTTTTTTTATTGGAGGATGAAAAGTAATAAATTCAGTTTTAATCATTATTTTTAATCATAGTAACTTAAAATAAGAACATTAAGAATAACAGAAACAGTTCTAGTTTTAATAGTAAAATTAATTATAATTATATAAATAATAATAATAATAATAATAATAATAGTATATGAATAATTATAATAATTTGCATTCTATATTACTTTATTGTCATTTGTTTTCCAGAAATCTTTTTGAAAGACCATATTCAATCTTTAGAAGCTTAAAAATAATCATTTAAAAAAAAAAAAAACTGAAATAAAAACTTGTCAAAAAGTTTTTATTTAATTCACACATGAATAACACAAAGAAATATTTTTGTTCAAAATTTTATTATAAATATTAGAATTGTTATAATTTGAGTTATTTTTACATGATGTTATTATTTTTACTCTATATTAATATATATTTTTAAAACTTGAAAAATAAAAGTCATTGGATTTGTTCAAGTAACTTTTATAATTTTTTAGGGATCTTTTGGGTGCTGCAAAAACAGGTAGTGGTAAAACACTTGCTTTTCTAATACCAACAATTGAGCTACTTTACAAGTTGAACTTTATGCCAAGGAATGGTAAGTGTGGTCAACAAAAAGATTTAAATATGAATTTGTTATTTTGAATATTATAAAATAGTATATAAATATGGATTATATATAAGAATATGTATGTTATAAATATGAAAATGCATTTGATAATTATCAAAGTATGCATGGTGTAAATGTGAAACATTGTGTATGTTATAGAAATATTATATGTATGTATGTGAATATGTTTTAAAGGAACTGGTGCCATCATTATTTCACCAACAAGAGAATTGTCATTGCAAACATTTGGTGTATTAAGAGATTTGCTACAACACCATCAGCAAACATTTGGTATTGTAATGGGTGGTGCAAATCGAAAGCAAGAAGCAGAAAGACTGCAAAGAGGTGTTAATATTTTAGTAGCAACTCCAGGGCGCTTGTTAGATCATTTGCAGGTTTGTTTTTTAAAGAAATATAAAATTGTTTATATTAGTGTCACCTGTTTTTAATTTAAATATATTTATATTTTAAGTTTTTTGGGGAAGTGAGTGCTTTTTTCAGAAAACAAAACCAGAAGACTTATCATTTTTATAAAATACTGATTATTTATATTGTTGAAGTATAAAAGTTAAAATATATATATATATTTTAAATATAAAACTTTATTAATTTTTTTTTTTTTGTTGTCTAAATAAATTCTGTAATCATAATTTATGTTTTCACAAAAATGTCAATTCTATTTGTTTGAATCTATTTTTGTACAAATATACAATAGTGTCCTCTAATTTTATTTGTTAAATACCATCTCTAGAAAGTTGCTCTATTACACCATTATATTACACCATAAATTTCAGTTTGTTTAAATAATATTGAGAGGGTTTCGAACATATGCTTGCATACAGACTATATGTCTTTTATTACACTACAGACAGCACTTTGAATTTCAAAATAGTTTTGTAGTATTGATATTGCTGTGTAACTGTACAAGATTGCCTGTGTATTTTTTTGATTACACAGTCAATCATGTATGTTTGGCTTTCTGACCACTCATTAAAAGTAATACTAGAGAAGTTTACTGCAATGTCAGTTGTTTCATAGAAACTGCAAGGAATCAACAATTTCCATAGGTCATGTAGGTGATTTTAACAGATATGAACCTCAATTAACTTTCATTGTTGATATAAGCAGTGTTTTCTGCTACCATCTCCAGGAGATGAAATTATAACAAGTAAAATCAGTCCTATTTTGTATTGCAACCATTTTTTAACAAACATCTACTAACATCTATTATGGCAATGAGTCATCATCTGACATAAGACAATGTTGTTGACTCCAACAATCAGTCTTGACAACTTTTTTTTTTTTTTCCAGAAATGTTTTATTTTCTCTAAACATTGACTTTAAACATCCTGTTCTTTATCACGGTTTAAGGTAGTATATAAGTCAACGAAATTTAACTTATATACTACTTATTAATATATATTTCTTTTTTGTGTTGCCTTTACTCTGATGCTTCATTAACTGTCCAATAGATAACTATATTCTTCTTCACAATAGATAACTATATTCTTCTTCACAATAGATAACTATATTCTTCTTCACAATAGATAACTATATTCTTCTTGACAATAGATAACTATATTCTTCTTCACAATAGATAACTATATTCTTCTTCACAATAGATAACTATATTCTTCTTAACAATAGATAATTATATTCTTCTTCACAATAGATAACTATATTCTTCTTCACAATAGATAACTATATTCTTCTTCACAATAGATAACTATATTCTTCTTCACAATAGATAACTATATTCTTCTTCACAATAGATAACTATATTCTTCTTAACAATAGATAACTATATTCTTCTTCACAATAGATAACTATATTCTTCTTAACAATAGATAACTATATTCTTCTTCACAATAGATAACTATATTCTTCTTAACAATAGATAACTATATTCTTCTTAACAATAGATAACTATATTCTTCTTCACAATAGATAACTATATTCTTAACAATAGATAACTATATTCTTCTTCACAATAGATAACTATATTCTTCTTCACAATAGATAACTATATTCTTCTTCACAATAGATAACTATGTTCTTCTTCACAATAGATAACTATATTCTTCTTAATAAAGTCTACGGTGTGTCACACTGGTATTTGTGACTTGATCTACCAAGGAAGTAGCAGATCATATACTTGCTGGACACTTACAACAGTGTCAGTTGTATTTTGAAATAGTAGTATAAAATAATATAAAACAATTAAGGCTATGTAAAAGTTGCTTAAAACAGTTGTTTTGTTGTTGTTGTTGTTGTTAATAACAATAACCCTAAAGAAACGAAAATGAAAGCAGTATGCAAATTATTTAGATTATTATTATTTTTTTTTTTTTCTATTTAAATTTATGTTAATTTCCTATTTTGTAAGTTTTGTTTTCTTTGTTTTTTCTGTAGAGTATTGAATTGCTCATTATAATAGAACTTGCAAACGGCCGTGATCAAGTTGTCTAAATAGAAAACTTATGCATGGACAAACGAGATGAAAAACTTTTTTAGGTTGGATCTACAGGCTCCCATGCTCCAAAACTGCCATTAAAATAATTATTAATGTCATTAAATTTATCAAGCACCCATTCTAGCTAATAAAATTCAACAAACTTCTCATTGTTGGAGACTTCAACTACATCGAAATCACATCAGGGTGACCACTGGTTGTGGAAATCATAGAAAAGTCATGGAATTTCATTTAGTAATGAAAAAATTCCTAAATTTTTATTGAAAGTCATAGAAAACATTTATGGAAAGTCATGGAGTTTTTAAAATAATCTTTTTTTTTTCCTACTGGTGACATTTATAAGGTATTTGCAAAGAAAATTGTATGTCTAGTCTACCTTTATGAAAAAGATTTTATTTCAATGTAAGTTTGTGATTACTAATTTATTACAATTATTCAGGTCAGGTCATCCATCCAAAGATACTTTAAATTTTAGTTAAGTGCATGGCAAAAACTGGATATTTTACCCTGTAATTCATCATGGAAATTTATGACATTAATTCATATTATCTAATACCATATATAAATGTATATATATATATATATATATATATATATATATATATATATATATATATATATATATATATATATATATATATATATATATATATATATATATAATATTATATATATATATATATATATATATATATATATATATATATATATAATATTATAATATTATATATATATATATAAAATATAAAAATGAGGTCAGCAAAAAATTGCTTATCAATATATTGCTGAAACACTTTCAGGTCGGCATTGCTGAATGCCGACCCTAATTCTGAGGGTTATATACATAATTGATATTAGTTTCTATGCCTGCACTTAGATATTATTTCACTTTTTTTACTTAACAGAATTGGGGATTCCATGACTAAATAAAATTCCTTGACATTACCATGATTTTTGTGACCATTGGAAATTATGGCAAGAAAAAATTTCTTACGTGTTTCATACATACAATTTGTGTACAAATTCATACATCCATACATGCGGTTTGTGTTTCAACGCAGTTTGAATACAGTTATATACATTTATACATAGGGTTTGTGGAGTATGTTCGGTTGAAAAAGTGCCAATTCTAAGTCTCTATCTGAAATCACCAATTGAATACAAGAAGCTTTGCATATAATTGGCTATGATAAAAATATTATGGCTTTTCTTTATGTTATATATGGTTCTTTTAAACAAAATTTATATATTTAGGATCATGGGGGCTTCAAGTTGCTGAAGTATTTTATATTCTTGATGTTTAAACATATACTAATAATATATTTGTATATTAGTATATAAAAATTTGCGTTATTGATGTAATATTGACATGTCAATCTTAAGTAAATTTTAATTTTTTTGTGTTACTATATATAGTCATTCCTTTATTCCTGCTCATTATGTAGCCAGAAGCAGAAAATACAAATTAAAACAAACTTATATTTAGATATATAAAAAAATAAAAACATTTTACGTTTTAATATTTCTTATGTTCAAGTAAAGCAAAATCTTGATTTAATTAAACTGAATGTTCTAAATGTTCAACTGGAAACTAAACACAATATTATTGATTTTTTTAAAATCAATAATATTGTGAATAAATGGCTAATATATCTGAACACTGATAAAAAATACTTTGCTAGAGAATTTAGTCTCTTCTCATCGAAGCAAATAAAGTGATCAAATCAAGTCAGATAAGTAGTAATAGACAATATAAAATAACAAGATTTCTTTTGACAAAATGGGATGGTTTTGAATTATGGCTTAAAGAACACTATTAATAAAAAAGGATATAATGAAGTTGGATAAAATGGTAATAATGCATTTAAAATTTTAAAATTAATTGATAAACTTCAACTTGAAATGTAAGTTAAAATACCTTATCTGCTGTTAAAGTACTTTATCTCAGTTTTGGACCTGTAGTCTGATCTAAGTTTTTAAATCTATAAAAGAAAAGATGCTTTTCTTTTCCTACAAGAAACCCTTGGAAAGGCACTAACAGTGTCATGGATCCATACTTTTATTTTGTAATTCTTTTGTAAATCCACATGTTTCTATACTTTTCTTTTGTAAAGTATGTTGGATGCAGCTTGTTAAAATATACTGAACAGTGTGGAGAGGCAATTCATGAAATGTTTACATGATAACAATATAAACATAATGATTATAGAGATTAAAAACTGTTGTTTTTAGAATAAAAAGATGGTAGTACTTAATGTTATATAGAAAATTACATTATAATATAACAATTTTGAAATTTAATTTATTATAAAATAAAAATGTCTTGAAAAAAATGAAAGATTATTGGATTGGGACAAATTTGATACAGCATTTCTACTAGTGGTATGTTTTTAATAAAAATAGTGATATGTTTTTTTTATCCTGTAGTAGAAATGTTCTTTTAAAGTTATGACAAAAACATTTTTTTTTTAGCCTGTAGTAGAAATATTTTTTTAAAGTTATGAAAAAACATTTTTTTTTAGTAGAAATTGATGAACATTTTAATACTCATTCAAAATTATTCAATTCAAAAAAAAAAAAAAAGTCACGCACCAAGACAACTGACTTCATAGTCGGTTTTATTATTATTTCAATTTATTATTATTTCAATTTATTTGCATTTAAATAAAAATACAAAAAGGTGATACAGGTAATTGGAGAATTACTCTTATGTAACACTAAGTTTAAAACAGTAAATAGTGTCTCTGAATATTGTATGTTTTTAAGTTCGATTTAAATAGAGACAATGAAGAGGAATACACCAAATAATCAGGTAAAGAATTCCATATCTTAGTAACTCTTTCACTGAAAAAAATCTCCTTATATCATTTATGTAGTTGTTACGTGATGTTAATTTTTGGGAATGACATCTAGTTGAATAAT